TGTTGTTGTGTAAGTCACGGTGACTGCCTGTTGCGCTCGTCTCTGGCTTGGCGTTGTTGTGACTGCTGTCTCTCACCTCACCTCCCCACAATCAAAACAAAATCCTCCACAACAACGGACAGCTCTTCTGTCTTTTCCCATCTTTTCCCATTCCCAATCACCACCACCGACCACTGGCAACATGTCGGGCAACCTCATCGACCTCAGTGACGAGGGCACCACCTCTCAGAACACCACTGGCATCAACGGCATTCACCGTACCAACGGTCTCGTCGGTAGGATGTCCCTCTCGGAGAACGGCGCAAGGTCGCCCCCACGCAACCACTTCGCCGGTCTCGATATCCTCATGAGACAGAGGCAGTCATCTACACCAGTCCCTTCACCAGCTCCGCGCCCGGTGTCGCTGCCAACCGTGTCCAGCGGTGAGTGACCTGATCTATATTTATATGACTGCATGACTGACTGACCACATCTAGTCCCTCGCTTTGCTACACGTCTTTCTTCAAGTTCGGAGATGTTCTCCCCGCTGGCGCAGCCGTACAGGGCTCCAGAGTCTGTGGCGTCTTTTCTGCAAGAGCAGCAAGAGCCCTTGACTTCCGCTCTTAGGTCTGATCAGCCGATCCCCGAGTACATCCCTGAGAACCGGATGGAGTTCAGAAGTATGATTGATACCATCAACGACTACAACAAGGCCACCGACAGCGAGTCCGATCATCGTTCTGATCACAGCTCCTGGTCGCCACCCGTCCCCGTCTCTCACATCGAGTTATCCGTGCCTGCTGCATCTGATACACCCCCGACTCCAGCAGACTCCGTTGTGGATGCCGTTCATGATTTCGGATCCGACCAACCAACGATGGTGTGGATGACTGAGCAGGAGCAGGTGACCGTGCTAGAGGACAGGTTGGCAGCCGCTCAGGAAACCCTCGCCAGGCTGGAGCGCGAGAACGCCGAGGCCGATAGGAAACTAGGACTTCTCGGATACCAGCTCGACTCCACCGAGAACCAGAATGCCGCAATGTCTCGCGCTATGTCTGAGAAGGACGCCATGATCAAGAAGCAGGATCTCGGAATGAAGAAGCAGGGCGCTGATATCAAGGCCAAGGACGCTCAGCTGGTAAAGAAAGAAGTTGAGATAGCGAGAAATGTTGCTGAGATCAAAAAGCAACGTCAACAGCTAGGTGCCCGCAATGCGTTGATCAACAAGGCAAATCCCGGAAGTAAGTTCGAACATCATACTGTACCAAAGGGGCCTACGCTAACTCATGCCAGATGACAGGGTCGGTGTGCATGGCGCCAGGATGGCTGCTAAGGATGCCGAATTGACCGCGAAGGACGCCAAGTTGGCCGCCAAAGATGCCGAGTTGGCAGCGCTCAAGCAGGCCATTAAGGATCGCAACCGCGAGATCAAGACTGCCGAGGCTACCATCAATGAGGACAAGAATCTCATCATCAAGGAGCAACAGAAGGCAGCCGACCATCAGCGGATGATCGACCATTACCTCTTACAGAATCAACACCTTGCTGACGCTGCGACTGCACGCGAGAAGACCATAGCTGATCTGCGACAAGAGCTTGTCGTCCGAAAGTTTGAGCTGACCGACGCCCAAGAGCAACGTGGAAACCGCGGCGCCATCGAGGACATCAAGGGCAAGCTTCGTGAAATGACCACTCTTTCCGATCGCCAGCGAGCCCAGCTCAAGGACGCCAAGGACGAACTCAAGTTCAAGGATGCCCGCATCATGGACCTCAGCAACAACGGCGAGCGTCTCCGTGGTGCCATCCATGTCGTCCCGCCGCGCAATGTTAAGCTCCCTGAGACCGTCGTATCATGCACGGAGTGTTACGCCATGGACCGGCGATGCGACAGCGGTACCAAGTGTCGCCCCTGCATGGAGAACAACACGGAGTGCCTGCGCTTCATGTGCTCATTGAAGTACAAGAACGGCAACTGCCCTCTTGTCCCCTGCCCACTCACTCACGATGGTCAAGGCTACCTCATGTTGCCGCGACCTCGTCCTGAATGGTGAAAAGCTCAACACGGTAAGCTAGGAAACGATTAGCGGACTCTCGTGAGCTTTGGTGCATATTTCTCTGGCGTCGGCGTCGGAGTTGGCATCTGTGTGTTTGAGCAATCCTATGGGCAGCCAAGTGCTGGCAGTTTTCTGACCGAATAGCACGATTAGGTAGAGCCTCAATAAGGAAAAAGTCTTCAAGATGAAGCATTCATGAACTTCTATTCGAATTTGACCGTGATGACCAGGTTGTACATCGTGCTGTTGTGACGTCATTTGCTCGCCTTGCTAATGCTAGCACGTCGGGGCGGAAGGCAAGCGCGAAGGATGCCGCTCGTACATGATCACCATGCGCATCTCGGGCTCAGAATTCTCCTTCAAATATAACGACGAGCTATTCAGAGTGCTGATCAGAGGCGTGCAGTGCAGTCCGCCTCGTGCCGGGGTCTGCGTTGTGGCGCGTCGCAGACATCTGAAACAGCGTGCGGCGCGGCACCGGGCGTCTTCACAGTCAGCATGGCATCGCGGCTGCTGCCTTCCTGGTTGTGCCTGCCGTCTGCGGGTCTTTTACTTTGATCCCATCTCTTCCTTTACTGCCTCTCTCTAAACAATTCACAACAGCACGCAATTATGGAAGAGATGGCAATGAAGACGGGTTCGAGCGGGCTAGAAGTACGGGTGGTTAGTATTGTTGCCGCAGATGTTCGCTTTATCAATTTTAATGAGCATATAGGCTTCCGAAGAGGAACCAGGTCCCTTAATTCGACAGCGTCCACTGTGGAGAGTACCGCAACTAGGGCTGCTCGTAATCGCGATAGTATTGCTGTATTGGAATGCGTGCCCTCCCGGCCATACGACGACTTCTGACCGATCTTTATACGACGCCACACCGGCCACCATCAACTACGCCAGATGTGAATCGATTGTTTCTTCTGAAGCGCGCACATTCGGCTTCAACATCTCGAACAGTGACGGAGCTGAAACCCATTGGCGTCTATCCGACTCATCCAATTTCACGGTTGGCGGTCGTCTCTCTGGTATAATTCACGTCCAGAGAGGCGACGTCGACCAGACCTCAGATATCGAAGTTCGGCTCGAAATAAACTCCAGCTCAACGACGGACTACCAAAACGTCATCTACAACCAATCTGCAACGAGCCTCAGTTTAGACTACCTTCCCTCCGACCATGACGGAGACGTTTGTACAGAGATCAAAGTTATGATATACTTCCGTCCGGAATCACCCGTGCGTCTATTGGATGTGCTCGAGATCAGGTCCGAGACATTCGATCTATGGGTTCACGACTGGGCCTGGCAGATCAACAACCTCATCACACATACTTCGCACGGCGAGTACACATACGAAGGCGGCAAAGGCCCGGACCCGTTGCATCCACACAACATCGATTCCAGCTCAACAACAGGAGTCATATGGGGATGGTACGGCTGCGAAGGTAGATTGAAAATACACAGCAAAAGCGGGCAGATTGATCTAATGCTGGTACCGCGGTATACGTTCATTGGAAAACCGATGCGACCTGAAGAAATCGTGGTGTATACAAACAGCGGAGACATCAACGTCGCTGCGCTCTGGGAATATTGGCCACAGCAGCCTTTTACGCATTACACGGAAATTCACTCGGCTTACGGCAATGTAGTCGCGGAGATACCACATGGCTCGTACACTACTCTCGCGAGTATCAAAGGCAACGTAAAAGCGTATCTACGACCCTTTGCTGCCGTAAGCCCGGATGATGAAAGCACGATTAAGACGACTACATTGTATGGCAATACGGTTTTACATCTGGATAATGCGGACCGAGAGCTCCTGGATGAGTTGTACGATCCTCTTCTCAGCACGAAGAGTGACCACTACGTCGGCACTGGCGATCTGTACCTGCGGTACCCGTTTAGTTGGTTCGGGAAAATGAAAGCGTATGGCAAAAAGGGCTCGATCAAGCTTGGGGGAAGTGCCCTAGATGAGGTGGAGGAAGGTGATAGATTCGTTAAGGCTGTCAGAGGGAGAGGCGCAGGTAGTCGCATGGAAGCGGTTGTTCACATGAGGGGGATGATGGATGTCACACTGGGTATTTGGGACACAGCTGAGTGAGTAGTATATTTGGTCGTTATACTGTTATCATTGCGAGTGCGTATGACCTTCTATCGATACATCAATCATGTGTTATTGCTGTCGATCAACAGTCATGGGTGATTCCAACACACTGCTATACATGTTTCGCAAGGCCAAACAACAACGCGCCATGAAACCTCGCTGAGCTCTGGGCGTCCAGCCCGATCGCCAGAACTGACATGACGGTTTCGCATTGGGGTCAGGCCTACTCAGTAGATATTTCGGTGCGGTCTCCACAGCCTCACGCAGGACCGACTGTCTGCCTCATGACTGAGGTAGTTCTAATCAATACTGCTACCGCCCTGTCGCTTCTCCGCCTTGCTGCTTACGTTTCTGACTATGAAGCGAGGCTTTGTCGACCCCAGGTTTCAGGATGCTTCAACCGAAGCGCCGGGCGTTATTGGCCCCATGCAGCGTAACTGCGCACAAGGCTGTTGATGGTGACGTTCGGACGAACATCCATCTTGGCTTCTGTCATGATGTCGAATCGGATCGGCAGCTCGTCCTCCCTGGGAGTTGGTTTGTTTGACAATGATCGAAATGTCCTAACCGAGCATTGGAGCATTCGTGAACGACGTTTTTAGACCCCAAAAAGTACGCCCAATTGATGACACAGGTGACAAGTATACACAACCGACGTGAGGATTTCTGATGTCAGCCCCGTGCCGCTTCGTGAAGATGGGTTTGAGATCGAAAGTCTGCTCAGACGGTCTCGTATATGCTCACTGCTGACAGCAGACCCTTGAAGACATGCTCAAGGTGAAAAAGTATAAGAAGATCGTAGAGAGAGGATAATGAAGATACCGAACCAGCTTCTCCCCTCATCTCCTCTTCTACACAGGTTTCTCGTCAACATGTTTACGTATCAGAATTATTTCACCCTTGGGTCAGTACTACTGGCACAGACGGTGTTGGGTTACCCCCAGGGCGCGGTCCTCAACCCCGCATTGATCACCAGAGACAATGAGTTCATCTTTTCCGCCATCGGTGATTCATGGGGAGTAAGTAACCCCCCTCAAAACCGACACATCGACTAAAACGAAACAGAGCGGAGTCCAATGGAGCGACGACACCGCATATGACGGAAACGAAGATGGATGCATGCGCTATAAGTACGCCTGGTCGACCATCGTCAACGACAGATATAAGGACTGGACACCAAACCCAGACCAAGGTTCTCTGTTCGAATTCAGAGCCTGTTCCGGCGCCCATCTGGGACAGAACATCCACGACCAGATGGACAAGTTAACACGACCCAAGATGACCCTCCTCGAAGCAGGTGGAAACAACGCCGATTTCTACCCCATGGCCGATAGCTGCCTCTTCCATTCCAACAGAAGCTTAGACTATGGCACGAAATACGAAGACGACAATGCTGATGATCCGACTGGATTGTGTAGGAAAGAGATCAAGTTCGTACGAGGAAGAGTTGGAGGAGGTCTTAAGCAGGCCGTTCTGGATACTATCGACATCTGGAGAGCCCACCCTGCTGTTGGTGGTAACGACGCCTCTCTCTTCATGCTAGGGTATGCGCGCTTCTTCGCCCTTGACGACGCATGCAATGACTGGGATTTTGGCGTACAGTACCAAAGGCGAAACGAGACACAGACAGTCAAAAAAGAGATGCGACAGGATTTCAACGATCTAGTGAGCTCCCCTCCCATCCCACCTCATCAAACTCGCATCTTTCAAAACCCGCTAACATCGCCACCTCAGGTCGACGCGGTGAACCTTGCGATCCGGTCCTCCGTCGAACAATACAACGACCCCAAAATCCAATACATCGACATCAACCCCGCCCTCGAAGGCCACCGCTTCTGCGAACCAGGCCACAGCTGGTGGTCTCAGTTCAACTACGGGTCCAAAGTGCACATCTATAACAACCCCGGCCGGCTCGTCGTCACCATCCACGACGGGGATCACGCTACCACGTACGAGTCTAACGATGACCCAGGTGCACCCAGCCCACCCGAGGATATCGTCGAGAAACTACATGGCTACCCCGAGGGCGAAGCCGTGCAGCAGGATCAATACACCATCCTTACCTTCCGCGACCCTGCGAATCCGAGTCTGTGGATGGAATGGAAGGTTGAGCCGCAGCCTCTAGATGGTGGGAGTGGAAGTAAGGATGGTCGTATCGCTAGGACGTTGCATCCCACGCAGGACGGGCACAAAGAGATGGGCGATTTAATTGTAGAGGCGCTCAAGAAGAATTATAGACCTGATGAGTCGGCTCCTGAGCCGCCGACGAACCCATCGAAGCCGACACAGCCGCCGCAGCCGGAAACTACGGTGCCTGGGTTTAACTGTCCGACCGGGTGTACTTGTAATTCTGGGGTTCCGCTTTGTTTCTAGGGTGCTGATTCGAGGGGGGTAGGCGTGGTGGTTGAGCAGTCGCAGGCTGATTAGCTTTCGGCGTTGAGATGTGAGGGCGTTTCTTTCGGGATGGTTTCGAGAAACAAGACTGGATCATCGGACGTAGCGTGTCTACATCGCCTTGGTAGTGCTTCTGTCAGCTTCTTGGCCTGATGGACTTCTGAGAATGGACTAGTGTTTGGAATCTCGACCTTCCCTGGAGTTTGGAGTCATAGTTGCCTTGGTATTGGTAATGTTATCGCATACTGTTGCGTGTGCTCGCCCGGAAGTTTTTCTACTCCCGCCATACTTACATATTGCGCTCAAGCTGTCAGAGCTGATATATAAGCGCGAAGGGCGTGACGCTCCCGTGACAGCAAATGCATGCGCGGTAGAAACGGTGTGCTAATCTGTTGACCGGTCGGAGCAGGGATCGATCGGCCCTCATGTCAATGGTCTGGAATCTTTGGGAATAATTTATCTGCTGGGTTCCTAACCAGTCAAGACGTCACAGTCGGTTCGCCGTGCATTATATAAGCAGTAACACAGACGAGGCTGCTCGAGGCTTGGTGGTGGTCCTGGAACTCGGCTCCGCGTGCACTGCCATTGGCCCCCAACGACCGTTCACCTTAGGGCGAGGCAGACATGATTGTGATACGAGTCACAAGTCTGGTCCTGAGACCAATCCTAGAGTGTCGCGAAGCTCTCTATTTATGGCTGAGATAAGCCCATGATCCCTGGCATTGTGGTCGATCTGGGCGTTGGTGTTCCCAGAGAGATGGATGTCGGAACCCGCCGTGGCAGAGACGTGTGAGCAATAGGAAGGGCGCGGCATTGAACGTCGCGGCAAAAGGTCGATTAGTCAGGAGAGATGATGAGAGAGCTAGAGTCACGAGTGTGCTGAGAATGAGGATGATGATGCAGTTGTTGGTGGGTTTGCAGAGTAGCGGCGGGAATTGGGTGGGCGGCCGTGGCGGCCAGCGGCCAGGAACCAGCCCAGCGTTGTGGACCTCCAGGGCTGAAGCGGGGCACCATGCGCCATGCGCGAACGGCCAAACATCTCCACGTCCCCAATCCCGTCACTAATGTCGCAATTTCCTCTTTCTCTCTCCCTCGATATCACAGATGATTGAGGGCCTTATCATGCACAACACCGCCATGGTGGCGATCCAGAGTAAGCCTCCTGCTCGGCCTACCAGGCCTCCCACGAACGGAAGTTCTAACCGCCCTAGCTAAATTACACGATGCCCATATCCCACGCACAGCCACATCACTACAGCATCGCCCGCGACGCGATCCGCTTGGTTGAAGGTGAAGAATGCATCTATACCCGACTAAAGGCAATGGCTCGCCTGATGCACCTAATTCAGTCTTCCGAGTCGCCGACTCGGTTGACCGAACTGCCTCGCACTTAGACACCGAAACGGGTCACCTCTGAGACACATGCCAGAAAGCTTAACTTGAGCCTCCTCTCAGGCTTCCCTCTGACTAAAACCGGGTCGATCCAATGATTCTTCCTACACAGGCTGTCAAGCGGGTCACGGCTACCAAACTTAGCCCTATATCCGACCCTACACGTTCTGGCCGAGCTTTCAACGTTGCTCTAGCGCGTTCTTTAACATGGAAACGACCATTCCTACTCGTTAGATGAGCACTAGATGGGATCTGGGGCGAAATCGAAAGAGTAGAGTGCTGCGACAGCCATGACTCCGGCTGTGAGTCGGTGGGAGATCGTTGGAAATGCGCTCATGCTCGTGCTGAGATGAGAGGCCTCATATCATATATAAGAGTCGGGATGGGGCACGGTTAGGGCCATCAACTCAATGAACATCATGGATATCTCCTTCTCGCCGGCTCTTGCTATGACTTCCCTTCAGGTCCAATCTCGTACTATCAGCAACATCGAGCAGTCTTCCATCGCCGTTATACACGCAGTCTCTGCCCTAGAGGCACACCAGCTTTTACTCGAAGTATACAGAGTTGCCTGGCACTTCATTCAACAGTCTCAGTACTCAAGTCAAATGTCACACCGAGGGCCATACTCAACTTCTGGAGAGATGAAGGATGGTGGAAACGACCCAGAACCGCCAGCTGCACCACCGTAAGTTCCCACCCCTTCTATCTCAAACCCAACCATCTTCAGACGAATACCACCAAACCAATATCACCCCCATTAACCATTTCCAACCCAGAATCATCATCCTCGCCCAATCCGGTAAAGCACCTGCGCCCCACTTCCAGGTACCAGACCCTGCCGATCCGCCATTCCAGCCGCACCCACCTACGTCATCCCTGTCGTACGTATGCCCAGTCTTACCTAGGTAGTTTGTGCAACCATCTCGTATCTTTTGTCGGTCCAATTCCTAACTCTCTCTCCTTATTTCTAGACCTGCACTTTCACGACAAGAATCTCACCTCACCGACGCGACATCGAGACCACCGAGTAAACCGGAACCAGAACCTCATCCTGCGCCACCGTAAGTAGATCGAGGAGACAGCCTTGCGCGAATGCGCACACGCGACTTGTTGCTGGAATTGAGCTGACGAGACACCAGTGTAATCATCTTATCGAACCAAACCCACCCTTCTACCTCTACGTCTACCACCTCACCACCACACGCGCAAACCACACCCACCACCACCTCAACACCCACACCAACCCACCTCTTCCTCCCCTACCTACCCGTCCCTCCACCCCAACCCTCCATCAACCCCAACGCTCCCTCCACAACCTCTACAATGGGCTCCAAAGTCAGCAAAGTCAAAGAACGCGCCACAGACGGCAAACTGCAACCCAGCCAAGAGCGCCTCGACAAGGAGCAGATGAAGGAACCGAGCAACTACTATTCACACCGTAGTAAGAGCATGCGGAGGAAAGCGGGGAAAGGGGGTGCTACAAGTGATGTGGGAGGGAGTGCTGGGGGTGCGGGCGGAGGGGCTGGTGGTGTTGCTTAAGAAAGGGGAAGAATATATACAGGAGTTTTGTGAGGTAGAGGGCAGATTGAGAATTTGGATACAAGATAGGTGGCGGCATATTGTGTTGGCGTTCAGGATTGTTTTTCTTCGGGTGTAGCATAGCGATGCATGGGCATGAGGATATTCACTTCTCCATCAATACATCAGGTATACTGTGTCTTCTTCGAGTTGCGTTTCCCCATTTGCACAAGAATCGGTCCGCCATGGCATGGCGACCACTCCAGCTAATCTCACCGCATCGGTCCGTTGTCATCGCATTTCGTACAATCTCACCTATGTACAAACACACACACACACACACGTTTCGACAACTCATTGCGAATGAACACATTACATTACTGAATTCATCTCACATACTATCTTCTTTCCATCCCCTCTAGCACCACTATCTAGTGCATAGTCGCATTCCCGCCAACGCGATAACTCTCCGGCGGTCCATTATGACTATAAACAACACCTCCCAAATCCAGGACAACCTTCTGCAGAATAACATTCGCCTCCACAAGCCACAGCTTGAGAGTATGCTTACCCGGTGCAAGCTCACCGTGGTTAGTAGTGTTCTTCCACGCGCTGTCAGCGACCGCAACACCCCATCCAACAGGGAAGTTGGGCTGCGGCTGGTCGATGACAAACTGGCGGCGGGCCTCGGTCTTGTTGTCGATTTGTGCGATGTACGCGAGGGGAACCTTGGGGTTGATGTTGTGGGTGGGTGTGAGGATGAGGGTGACGTTGAGGCCCTTGGCCTTGGTGGTGGGTGTGAAAGTAACGAAGTCGTATTCCAGACTTGGTGCGCTGGAGGAGTCAAGACCCTCGGCTAGGTTGTTGGCGAGCTTGACGCCAGACATGGTGCGACCGTATTTGGGGAGGACCATGTATTCGTTGTCAGAGGAGCCAGGGGTGGAGCGCGTGTAGTGCTCTGCTTCGAAAGCGAGTTGGCCCGCGGATTCGACGAAGCCGGCGTTGAAGTCGGAGGGGATGGACGTCTTGTTTACCATGAACATGACTTGTGGGTTTCCGCCTTGGGTGCCGAAGTCGGTGGAGCTGGAGAAGTTGAGCTTGCTCTGGGCGCCGAAGCCGTCTTCGACCTTGGTCCAGTCTACGTCGACGTAGATGCGGATGTCTTCGTCGTTGGGTTGCATGGTTCCCTTGGCTTCGGAGAGAGTGACGAAGGGGTCGGCGCTGATGTTCCAGTTGAAGGCTCCGGTGCCGCGGTGCGAGATTTCGATCCAGCGCTTGGGGGTGAAGGGTGTCATGGCCGGCAGGGTGAGCGAACCACCGCCGTTGCTGTGCCACATGTCATCACCGGGGATAGTGGCGTTCGAGCCTTCGACGGAGATGCCCATGTCGCCGGCTAGGGATCGTTCTTGAGTCTGTACCCAGCGGAGGTCGGGAGTGGACTGGCGCATAGGTTGTTGCCTGTGATTGAGTTAGCACCATGATTTCCATCGCAACGTCATTAGAAACTTACCAGTATCCTTGGTAACCAAGATGGGTCTGGTCCATCATGTGGTCCCACTTGCCGTTGAGCTGAGTGTGGTAGAGGCGGGTAAGGTTGTGGTCTTTGTTCATGCCATCAATCACACGCTGCATCCACCTGTTGGCGCTGTTGCGGCCCATCTGCGCGTAGATGATGTTCCTGGCGCCTGAAACCTGTACATCGACGTGGTTGCCTCCAGCAAGGACACGGTGCAGAATGATCTCGTAGAATGCGGGCTGTTGTTCAGGAGAAAGCGCGGCGTTGACCTTGTTGGCGCGTTCGGCGAGAGACTCCCAGTGAGCAAGGATGCGGTCAGCCTCCTCGTAGTTGAGAACGCTGAAGGAAGAAGGCTCGACCCATTCGAACTTGCGCATGTTGGCGAGGAAACCGTACTCGTCCATGATCTCGGCGATCTCCTCAGCATGCTCTTCACCGAAGTTACGGGCGGCGAATCCAGCGAGCCACTCGGGCACTGAGTCGTGGTTGTATGAGTCCATGTCGTAGGCAATGTCGAACCAATGGCTGATGGCGATCTCGGCGGGCTTGATGTCACCAACGTTGACGATCCAGATTCGGTCAGCCTCACGGTCCTTGGCCAACT